TTAACTTAGAGATATATTTTGACTGTTTATCTTGACATTGGTTCTGTAAAAAACCAAACTGCGCTCTGGAACTGATATTTGGGTTTCCTACGGTTGATCTGATAATTGGTATCAATTCTAAAATTCTTCAGCATTTTCTTTCAAACCATGTCTCATCAACCAATCTTTCAATCTTTTCAAATTCTTTCTTCATCTTTCCTTGAATCAGATTTGTTGTGAATTGTAACTATGTATTTCCACTCTTCCAGCACAATCGGTTTTTTTAACGAAAACATTTTTTACACTCCCTGACTACAGTGCTAGAGTACAGATTTTTACGGAAACTGGTAAAAATATATTAACTTTTCAAAACTTTAAGTTTAGTCACAAACTAGAAATCTTTTGGTATTATAGTCACTGATTTTTTTTTATCTTGCTTTTTTGCACAAACTCTGATGTTCTAATCCATAGATCGATCTTTGCAACCCAATGTCGTTTAGAACTAATTTATTTAGAACTATCAAATCTGTTTAAGTATGAAATACCAAAGATTTACATAACATCAGGTTGCAAATATATAGGGATTAGAAAATTGAATTTGTTCCAAGATCTTTGTTTTTTAAAGTATAATCACAATATATTATATGATTTTTTTATATATTAGCTACTGATGTTTTTTTTATATTAGCCACTGATGTATTTTTTTTTTGCTTTTCGCTGTTCGGAATCCAAACCAGCTGATCTTGTGAACTTACAAAATGATATTGATAACCTTTGATATTTAAAAATTTAATTATTTGATCAGGTTTCCTAGTTTTAAATATCAAACACATAAGGTTGCAAAGATATTAAGGTTAGACAAATAAAGAAAGTGGCGAGTTATCAGTTCCTTTGATTCCGAACAAACCTATTTTTTGGAAATAATAAATCTTAAGATCAACTTTAATTAAAGTCAAGAAAATGGGCTCCGCATGGCATCCTTATGCTTCTCACATTTTTCCTGGCTCTATGTGTCTTTTTGAAATTCATAGTTTGTAATTGTAAGACCGAATTTTTATAAAATGAACCTACAGATATTTTAAATTAAGCTCTTGCCCCCCCCCCCCTGCACTGGTTACTAGCTCTTGTGTGCCCCTGCGGTTGTTTATTCTGTAGATGCCCGAATCACGGTAGAGCATGAGTGTTAAAACTTTTAGCACTTATCATTAGAAACTGTTTGATCAATCTGAACATCAAGCGAGAAATAACATTCTTACAGTTTTTATCCTGGACCGGGAACAGAAAATTAAAGTAGGAATAGAACGAGTCGTAAAATAGCCTTTAAAGGGACTGTAAGCGTAAAGTGAAAAGTCAACTTACGTTACTTGCAAGGTAAGGTAAGGACACAAGAGAATTTTGTACTAAAAATGCACCAATGCACTCATGGTTTCGGTGGCTTTACAATGTATATTGGAGTTTGTTTTTAATCTTTGTGACAGAAACAATCTCAAGAACTGACGATATGAACCCAAACCGAAATATATTTTCAATAAATGTGGAACTAACATCTACTTTTTTTACAATACAGAGGTTTGGCCCATCACCATCACCGAATTTTAAATGTATACTGCAGGTTTTTTTGTCAACAAACGCATCCGAAACTAAATTTAAAGATGTATAATTACTGAGTTTGAGCGCAAAAATTCAAAATCCTCATTTGGGTGGTTACGTTTTGAGAATTGATTAAAAAATAATTATCAGATAATAAAGGGTTCTGTTGTGAATCGGACACGTCACTCTACAAATGGAGGGTCACTTGAAATTACGCCTACAGTCCCTTTAAAGGATAAAAGTCTGAGTTAAAAGTTAAAAGCTGGTTTGAATTGAATCCTAAATACTTGGTTCAGCATGATTCATCTTGTTTCTGACCTAGCATTACCTAACTAATTATACCATGGAACATTATAATATGTATATCTAAAGCTTCGTATACTTGACTTTATAATCTCTCATATTAAAATCTTCATTAACTTCCGTCCTGCATTCCAATAATGCATGGCAAAATTATAAAAACGAGGCTGTACGTCTTACGAGTTCTTCATAAAGGTGTCTCCCTTTCTTGTGTCTTCAAAATTAACGAAGATATTAGATATTTAGACAATTTTGATTTAGTAAATAAATTGAAATTTTTACTTTTGCCATATCGTCTTCAATTTTAAAGATACAAAAATAATAGACCACATAGACCACACTATACTGCATAAAGTTTAAAAAATTGTCCAATGGGAAATTAAACTAGTCCTTCAAAAAGGTTATGTAAGACTGTAAATCTAATTTACTATATACCTAAAATTCAATGTTAATAAATTCGTCCTAAAAACCCAGCATTATCGATCCTGAAACATAATATGCATACTATGAACCCAATAAATCCGTCTTGTTAAATGAATATGTAAAGCTGATATATCCTTCACAAAATATACACATATACATACATGTAAATATCAAATAGGTGTATACGCATATTCAATTGATTTCTCCGTCCAACACAAAGTTAACCGTCCTGCATAACGCTAGGAGGAAGGTTTCTTTTAAAATTTTATTTATTCTTTATTTTCCACCAATACTTGAATACTGGAATGCATTTCTCAATGCTTTGAAGGTTGGGTCTGCCTTGATATCTGGTAAATATTTAGAAACAATTTGTCAGTCAATGCAATTTAGTATTTATGACTGCTGCTATATACCCGGTTTTAAAAAAGCGGAGAAGGTGGAAGGTTAGCCGGTTTTAGGGGAGGGAGAGAAGGTGGAAGGTTAGCTGGTTTTAAGATTGAGGGGAAGAAGGTGGAAGGTTAGCTGGTTTTAGGAGAGGGAGAGAATGTGGAAGGTTAGCTGGTTTTAGGAAAGGAAGAAAAGATAGAACGTTAGCTTGTTTTAGAGGGAGGGGGGATAATTTGGGAGGTTAGCTGGGTTTAGGAAAGGATGATAAGATAGAAGGTTAGCTGGTTTTAGCGAAAAAGGGGGGGGGGAGAATTTGGAGGTTAGCTGGTTTTAAGAGAGGGGGAAGGTGGGAGATAAACCACCTTTATATTCAACATCTTCTTCATATTTCCACAATTTCTTCATGTTCCTCACTTTCTTATAGTTCCACGCCTTCTTCATGTTCCGCACCATCTTCTTGTTCCACACCTTCTTCATGATCCACACCTTCTTCATGTCTTCATGTTTCACACCTTCTTCATGTTCCAGCCATTTTTTATTTCTCTGCACATCTTCTTCATTTTCCACACCTTCTTCATGTTCCACCCCTTCTTCATGTTCCACTGCACCTTCTTCATGTTCCAACCTTCTTCATGTTCCACACCTTCCTTATGTTCCACACCTTCTTAATGTCCCTTCATGCTCCATATCTTCTTCATGTTCTACATCTTCTCCATGTTCCTCAAGTTGTGCATGCTCTACTTCTCTTTGAGATAAAAGCAGTCCAGATTTGCCTTGATCTTTTACACCTGATTTACAATAACCTAGTGCATATACAAATATATTTATACATATAAATATATATATTGCATATACATATATATATATATTGCGTATACATATACATATATATAGTGCATGTACATATATACATATATAGTGCATATACGTACATAGGAACGAAGTTACGCTCTAAATTTGTATACAGTATACAGTACACATGCACGTCTTCTGATACCATCTTTCGAAATATCTCAATTCAAACTTTCTATCTCAAGCAACTCAAAGTTTGTCCAAGAAAAATGTTTTAAGAGAATTGAGTATCTGGAACAATTGTATGTACAGAGTGACTTAAAAAACAAAATTTTCAAAATTAAAGTTTAAAATAATAATATTTAATTTAAAGATTTTAATATCTTTTTGGTTCTGTCACAAAAAAATATCTTTTAGATATTTTTTCCAAATCAAAACCATGAGAGCTAAAACTTATATTGCATAATACTAAAAATGAAAAAAGGTGTCAAAAATAATATTTGATAGAAAAGAAAGAAAAAGTTAAGAATTTATAAATTTCTTAAAGATTGTACACATATGTCAAAAAAGAAAATTTGGCTTAGTTTTCACCTCGAAATACACAAACTAACTTACAACTATGAAAAGATTATTAAAATTTATAAATAAAAATAATTTTGAGGGAAAAAGCTGTATTTGTTACTAAAAAATCAATTTCTTTAACCATTGTTTCAAAATTAAAGATTTGAATTTATGAATTCAAATAATTGCAACTGCAAGTTCTTTTTAGATTACATAAAGGTTTATGATACAGTCATTACTTTTTTATAAATATTGGCAAATATCCTAATTTTGCAACTCTGGATTATAATGAAAGTTTCAACTCATGATTTCCCCATACCAGGCATTTTCCTCCTGACCTTAAGTGCATGATGCATCGATGCATATCTATTATCTAACTTATTCGTAAATACGCCTTTACTGCTTTTGAGATTTTTAATTCTGATATGTCTGGTATATTTATGTGAGAACTAAATTTCTGGTGAGAGCTTTATTTCTGGTGATATATTGAGTTCTGGTGAGATCTTGAGCTCTGGGGAGATCTTGAGTTCTAGTGAGATCTTGAGTTCTGGTGAAATCTTGAGTTCTGTTGAGATCTTGAGTTCTGGTGAGAATTATAGTTCTGGTAAATATTGAACTCTGATGAGATTTTGAGTTCTGGTGAGATATGCATGCACTATACAGGGTAGTTATACAATAATTGTTACACTGTACACTGTAGTGTACAGTACCCTGAGATGGATTCTAATCACGTCAAAACATGTCAATCACTGCTTAGTGCTTAGTGCACACCAAACCCATTAAATTTCACACAAATACTTACCATTCGATGCAATTTTACAATCTTTTTACACATGTTTATCGACCTCAATAGCATAAAATAATTTAATTGAACTAATTACTAGCCGAAAACTAATCCCTACATCTTTGCAAGCTGATGGTGTATTTCAAACTTTGACGTTTTACCTAAATTCAATTATTGAATCATGAAGTTTTAATTTTTTATTGAATCTAAAAATACATAGTTCCGATCATTACATATTACATATGTTTGATGTTGTAAGAGATTACATTTCATACAGTAGACTTTAGGATATCTTTATAATCTTTGTGGTCAATTTTCACTTTTCTCCTGGACCAGAATTGGGACAGTTTCAAGAGCCTGTTTCGTCCAATATCCTGAATCTGCAACATTTAATTGAAAAATAAAAAATAACTGAATAAGTTAAATAATGAAATTTTTATGAAAAGATTAGGAACTTAATAAAACTTCCTCCCTTGCCCTCAATATAAGGTATGATATGGCTCTACAGTAGATGAACTTCAACAGTAACTGAAATTCCAAGAATTTTGTACTCAAAACAAAAAAGCTGATATCATATCTTTATATAATCAGGCGAAACAGTTTTCCCGAAACAGCTTTGGATTACAACATAAAAGCTTTTCATGAGTTGGTTAAACTTGGATCCTCTTCTCTTTCATGATTTACTGATCCTGTGTGAGAAAAGCATCTAGTTGTTCCAAAGTTTTGAAAAAACTTCATACATTGATTACCTTCCATTCTACCTTGATACATTAAAGGTTGATTGATTTTAAAAACCGGGTCAACCAATTGAACCCTTCTTCAGGAGAGTTGAAACTTTGTTCATAAGTTTTTATTAGCTTGTCAGTAACTCCAAGAATTATGTGAAGTTCAGGAATGTCAAATATGTCTAAGATAGACTTGTCTGGAGGAACATGCAACAAGCTAAGCTCTGGAGTTTTGGAGGGGCAAATGGGACAAGGATACTTGGAGCTGGCTGGTTGTTTTCCAGTCATTTGGAGCATATAACCTTTACATTTGCTTCAGAGACTGTGAAATCAACTGACTCCATATTTAAATCTCTAAAAGATTTTTAATATTGTGATGTGATCTAAACTGGGAAATGCCGCTACCAGAAACAACATATACACAAAACACAAAACACAAAAACTCTTTGAAGTTGCACTCTCGAGTAACTAAATGTACTTTGCACTGAAGTTACTCATGGTTAAAAAATCAGCTGGTCTCCACTCTCCAGGTACACGAGTTATCAAGGATGAAATGCCATTGCCAAATCTGAAAACCGGTTTTTAGGGACAAAAAGTACATTTTTTAATGTAATGTATTTCCTAAATTTCGACTTGTAGCCGACTTTATAAGTCCCAAATCCAATTCAAGGACCACTAGATATAATGTATAACGTCAACTCTCAATTCCAACTTTAAAACGTTAGCTTGATATTATAGATTAAATAATAATAAAAATCTAGTTTCTAAATTCACCGGAAAAGTAAGAAATTCACTAGGTTTGTTTCCCGTAGATTGGTTGACAAGTTATCGTCATCGTAATTTGTCTTTAATATTAAGTAATCTTTCGCGGCATTGTAACTTCTTTAGAGCTTTCGGAGTTTGAATTTCAAGTTTTCGAAACCAACAAACGTTTCAGCGAATTCAGCAGAATAACCAATTCACGTTCACTCGAGAAGCAACAGGAGGCGTCAGCGTGACATTTTTTCTTAACCGTTTTTTTAAATTAATTCACTAAGCACAAGTTCACGTCACGTAGTTTTTCAGATAGAAATTTAGACATTTTTTCTGATAATTATTTTCATTTTTTAGTCTATCCCGTTATACACATTGAATTTTAAGCCTAAAAAGCACTCAATTTTGCCATTTTCTCAAAACTTGATAGATTTTGGTTTGGTTTTTTAAATTTTAGAACCGCAATTAATAGGGATGGTGAGTAAAAGGTGCGCATTAGGGGCAGTGGCCTCCTTCGGCAGCCATAGCCGAACAAATTGGGTCAATTTTACACTTTCGTCACCCAATTTTGGACAGGCTGGATTTGGTCTTAAAATGAAATTGTTATAGAAGGCTGAAATTTTTAATGCAGCATCTTTATGTGATACGAATCAAGAACACAATTATGATTTTTATGGATGTTCTAAATTCATTCAAATGCACCCTATTGACGTGAAATGATTTTTTAGGTCGTTGAGTATGTGAAAGATTTCATGTTATGATTGGAAAACATTATTGCGGGAATATACCTTCAAATCTTGCGACTCTTCCTTGAAAATTTTTCTGGAAGAATTACTAATACTCAGGATAAATGCTTTTCAGAGATTTCATACTTCACGATGTGTGCAGGTGGACGCGCAGAGGAACCCCTTCAAGAACACTGCAGTGAAATCAAATTAACAAAAACTTCATGCATCATCTATTTTTTATATCCTGAATGTTTTATTCTTTTGTAAACTTATTTTTCGACGAAGAGACTTCTGATTGTGTCTAGCTACTCACCTTATCCTTTGAAATCGTGTCGGTACTTTTATAGCCAATCGTCAAATGTAAGTTTTCATTTTTCGACTTAGAGGCTTAATTTTTCCAGTTTTCATGAAATTAAGATTTATTCGTCGATCTTGACGATGAACGAACTTGAATTTTTAAAATGCCGGCACGGTTATCGAAGATTAAGCTAATAAACTAAACAAAACTGGAAAACTTCCAAGTCATAAAATGAAAACTAACAACATATAACAGCTTTTGCGTGTGAATAGATTAAAATGTTCAGAAGAATTCGTCGACTTTGACGATGGACAACCTTGAAATCTCAAAATGCCGGCCTTGTATTCTTAGGATATGGTAAGTAGCTGAACAAAAACAGAAAAAGGAAGGCTCTTTAGTCGAAAAAAGGATGAGGTAATTAACTAGACAAAAAAACATCCATGATTTAAGAAAAAAAAATGATGATGAAGTTCTTGGTATGTTGATTTTCTATGGCTCTCTTCTCCACTGCGGTGTTCTTGATGGGGTTCCTCTACGCGTCCACCTGCACACATAGTGAAGAAGGACATCTCTGAAAAGCATTTTTCCTGAGGATTAGTAATTCTTAATTGAAATTGACTGAGAGGAATTGGATTTTTCAAGATGACCGAAAATAAATGTGATAAAATTGTTTCAGTGGTAAAGATAAAATTTGAGGATAAATTATACGAACTGTTTAGGGTGGTTGGCGATGCAATCCAATAATTTTCGGCGACGTAAAGCCCAAAAAACATAGATTTTTTATGAAAATGACGATTTTGACCATGTGGACTTTAAAAAAGCAAAATGCCGGCTCGAATATCGAAAAGCTATGGAAATATGCAATTAATGTAATTTTCAAAAATTGAACTAAGTATCAGCACAAAGACTTACTTACCTGTTAGTTTTTATTTTTGGAATTTTGATTTCGACCAATTATTTAACCATTTTTCATCAAAATCATTATTCATTTTTTATATTATTCAAGGATTAGGTAGGGTTAATATAATTTCTGGAGTCTGTCCGAGAGAATGATTTTTTTGCCCCCCCCCCCCCTCCTGTAAGTTTTGTACATGACTACTTTTTTCAGCAAAATTAAAATTATTTATTTGTTATTATTTAGGGCTAGATTAGATTAAGACCATTTCTGGGCTAAGCGCTGCGGCTAGGACAGGCTAGGGGGCCAAGAGCCACGGCTAGGTCCGGCTAAGGGGTCGCATGTACAAATTGATAGGAAGGGGGAGGGCGAGGGTGCCTTTGAAAAAACTTTCAGATGTGCAACACATATTTTTTTGGAAGCATTACGACAAAACTAACTCAAATACAAAATTTTAGCATTTTGAAATAATTTTCCTCAATAAGCCAGTCATTTTACTGTTTCTTACTGTTTGGCCTTCTTTAACCATTTTTGGCTAAATTGGTTTGATGCTGTCAATTTTAAAAACATTTTGAAGTTTTACATCATTTTGGAAATCATTTAACTTAGTTTTGAAGAGATTAAAAAAACTACGAATTTTTGTTTTTTGAAAAAATGAAGATTCGTGTCTTTTTTACACCTTTTATCAGCTTCTTCTGAGAGCGGTTGAAAAACTCGATCAAATATCGTTTAAACTAATATAAATGATTTCTGGCAAAATGGTGTTACACTTCAAACCAATTAAGGTTAGAATGACAGTAAAAACAGTAAAATGGCTGGTCCATTTAGAAAATTATCCAAGGTGCAAAAAAGGGGGGTGTAGGGCGCAAAGACCCCCGCAAAGAACCCGTAACAAGTAAGACATTTTGTAATATCTCTCTAAATATTAATAGCAGCTGGTTGTATTTTTGAATGTAGACTCATAAAATTGCCTAGGAGCTGTAAATGAAGTCCGATTGTCAAAATCTCTTTCCGGAGACTTGGAACCTCTGAAAAGTGATGAAAAATAAATTTCAAAAAATTATTTTTTGGGGGGCTACGGGGTGTTAATTTTTTTCTTGACAAATCACCCTTCATTTGGCATTTTCCTCCCTAATATAGATGGTGGCTGGTGTTCTAAATATATGTGTTAATAATAATTTGAATAATATTTTCTGTTTTCTTTTACTCCTATGTTTTTGATCAGAAATTGTCACTTTTGGCATTTAAAAAAAATTGTTTGAATGAACAAAGGAGTAAAACTCCTTATTACAGGGAATCGCTTCATTTGAAGAAAAGCTACTTACTCAGAAGAAAAACTTTTTAAAAATTTTTCTACTTTTTTGCCCCTGAAGTTTCCTATTCCAAAATCCTGAAATTTCTTCATGTTATTAAACTTTTTTTTTAACTTTAATGATTTTCCAGGACACTTGTAGGGAAGAAAATTCGAGCTAAATTATCTTTTCATATTCTAACTTTTCAAGAAACTTCTGGGAGAAGAAAATTCAATCCAATTTGAATTTTGTTCTTCTGATGATTTGAAGAAACTACGGAGGATGAAGTTTAAACAAAAATGAATTACACTTCTTTTTGTTAGTTTGGAGGAAGAAAATTAAAACTGAATTGAATTGTCTTTCTATTTGCTCGGACAACCCTTTTTCTTAGTAAGTAAGTAAGAATATATACACCCCTGTTTATTCAATATCTGAAAAGATCATTTGACTTTTTAGTCCAAGTTGAATATTGTTACCATTGAAGATTAATGTAATTTTAGAAACTATAAAAGTTGGATTAAAATGTTGAGCCCAGATAGCACAGAGAATGGTGGCGACAACATGTCAAGTAATCCTAACCAATCTGAACCTAAGAATGACAACTGTGAACCCAGTCCGACCCTTCCACTTTATCTAAAGGGGCAAGAAGATCAGGATCAAATTCGAGAAAATGAGGCAGATTCAAACCTTCATCTGGAACATTTAAATAAGTCCAACCTCTCTAAGTTTCCAGACTTCTCCGACCTGTTTCCAGATTCCAGGAAACTCAACTTAACTGCGGAGTTAAAAGAAGCAGGTTCCAGCAAGCAGGATAAATGGGAGAAACCGAATAATTGCTCTAAGCTTTCATCTGAAAATCTTCACTTGAAACACAATCTGAACCAAGGAATCTTGAACGCTAAACAGGAAAACTTAAACCTGAACTTCAAATCTGCACAAACTCCAAATATGAAACGTGAGAATAGGATTGCTAACTCAAACCTGATTCTTGAGAACCAGTATCTGGAGCTGTTGGGAGAACCTTTGATGAATCCAGAGTTTAAAGACCAGAGCTTCGACACCCTAGATGCTTCAGAAACTGAAAGCACAAGAGGATTTTCACCAGACCCGGAGGTTTGTTAAGGCTTAAATATCTTTTCTAGTAGAATGCGAAACGACATATTTTTGGACTTTTTTGTTCTTTGAAAGTTTGAATAATGTTTGAAACATGGTATGGAAACTGACCTAGAGGAAATTGATCTAAGGGCATCCAACCTAACAATCAAATTGTTAAAAAAATATTAGTTTCTAACCTAACCTGTTTCAAGAGAATAATACAATTTTTAGTCGGAAAAAGTTTAGGTCAAAATAACCCCTGGGTTAGTTTCCTCTGAATTGGATGAGTGGGTACGTTTCATAATTCGGGGTATAATTTTCATATTTAGTACTAGTTAGTTAAGTAATTTAGAATAACATTGAATTATTGAATAAGTGACAGTTTCCAACATATTTATTTTCATTCAAATCCAGGAATATCCAAAGGATTTAATTGCGAAAAGTATTTAAATTTTTTACCAATTCATTCTGTAATACTAAGCTGCGACATATTGTTGAACCGGTTATTTTTTTTTAATAGAGCCGGGGGGTTTTATATTTTATTTAATAATATTTTACTATCAAACAATTTTAGGTTTCCTTGAACTATTTAGCAGAAGCGAGACCCATTGAATCCTACAATCTGGCTCAGGTTTGTAAAAATATTAAAATTTTGAATTATAAGGTTTTTAATTTTGCTTTTTTTTCCCCCAGAATGCGGAGGTTCTACAAGAGTTCACTCTCTCTGTTCTTGAACCTTGTGATGTTAAGAACCAACTGTTCCAAGTAATACTTCCAGAACATATATCTCTACAGGATATTCAGGAATAGCAGAAAATTTTGCAAAACTCTACTAGTCATTGGTGTATGTTTTATTGAAAAATCATCCCCCCCCTTTTGAAAATGATTTTTTCCTCAGAAGTTAGGTATGTTTTTTTTTTTTTGGGGGGGGGGTTATTTGCTGAATCGGGAAAAATTAAAGTTTTAGGGGGACAAATTTTTTAGGTATTAAGTACACAAATGTCCCCCCCCCCAGGCCCCTGTAAGAGGGGTAACTCATAAAAATATTCAGGTCGTTTAAGTGAAAATTTATAAATTTTACTTTTTTAACACCAAGACTTTATTTGATTTATATATTTTTACAGTATATTTCAATTATTGATTTTAATGGATGTATTACATTAAGAACTGAAAAGGGTCAATCCAAAAATATATTTCCAAAATAGATTTTTAGTGATTTTGTGGTTTGGATCTTTCCTCAACAAAATTTTGAATTTTAGTTTAAATTTAAATACTGCTTCTGTACAGGCGGAGATTCCAATAAGAACCAATTTTGATGAAAAATTGGTCGAACAGAACCATGTTGTGAGTAGTTCAGATATTCGAGATTCATCTCCAGGTTCATGTGAGGAAACAGATACACCCTATGTTTCTCCAAAGCGGTCAAAGAACACAGAGAAAGGTTCTAGCTCACAACAATCCTTACCAAACAAGCATTTCCTGGGTAAAAGGAAATCCAACAGTGTTGACATACCTCCGGAACTGGTTGCAATAAACTCTGGACCGAGGTTGCGCGGGAATCCTCGAGGACGACCTAGGAAGCATTTGACAGCTCGGCCTCGAGGACGGGGTAAAGGTCGTACAACAGTGAGGAATTCTGCATCCGTCATTCATGAACCAATCACTAGGTGGGTAATGTTCCTGGTAAAATTTTTTTTTTTGCATTCTTAGCTGGATGGAATTGTAATATGATGATTTATCACTGTTAACATTCTATCAAGTTTTCCATTTCCTTTTTAGGTTTAGATCAATCTTGTTTTCTTGAAGTGTGGATACAAAAATCAATGTTAACCAATCTTGTAGTAAATTTTAGTTTAGGTGTTTAAAACTACAAAAAAACGATTAATTTTTAAAAGTAGCTGTAGTTAGTATTTGAGGCGTTTCTTTGGCTTGAAAGCAAATGCGTATTCAGTGGGGGGGGGGGGGGGGGTTTTTAGTGCCAAACGGGTGCTGAGCCCCCCCCCCTGGAAAAGAAAATTGTTAAGCTCCCCACTGGAAATTTTTTGGAATATGCCCCTGTTGAATGTGTAAAAATTGAAAACTGTGATTTACCGAGTTAAGTTTCTTTTTTATAGTTCTTAGAAAACCTTAGTCTTCTTTTCTTTTTCCGGATTTTGGACACCCAACATATTGGTCATTTGTTCTGTCTGGAATTAGAAATTCTGTATATCACCTTTCAGATATAGTTAGTTTAATATCCACTTAACATATCTTGTGCAAGCAAATTGTTAGATATCTTATGTGTGTACGTTATGATGCGGAGAAAAATAAACCTACTGCTTGAGATTGATTGATGTTTATTCAGGGGAGGTTGTTCTCGAGGTTCCTCCAGGTTTTCCTCAACCCAACATCTGGCCTCCAGGTCAAATCTTGAAACTATTTGTTTTACACTGCTTAATATGACCATAATAAGCTGACATGTTTATTGTTTCGAAAAAAGGTCTTAAAATCATCGATAACTTAGATGTTATGTAATCTTAATAAAGTCGCAAGGCAATTTTTGTCCATCTGTTTTTAGTTAAATTTCGACCATACACTCTATAGTCTTTACATCCCTTTAAATAATCGTCCATGAATTGAGTTTAAAAATTTAGTTTTTATTTGAAATGTAAATTTCTTTGGATTAGGGATCAGCAGACATTCTTTCCCAATCATAGTTCAAGAGGATCGGAGAAGATTCCATTTGCTCAGACTAATGTAGGTTCATCTCATGTATCTAACTTAATGAAGTCTGAAGTCTCTAACATGCCCTTCAAAATTCAGTCCCAGGAGCCGATCAAGGAGAAATATTTCCCCCAACAACATGAACCAGTTGTTGGTAACCCACAGGGATGGACATGGGATCATAATGCTCAACACTCTGCTCCATACTCAGGAAGATCTATGGAGGGCCAGAGTAATTTGTACCAGGAGAACATGCACCACATTCAGCAGGACCAATTCAAGCATTATTATGAACATTTGTTTCAAGGACGACAAGGAACCTCTTTATTTAGTACATAAATTAATAAAACTGGGGTGCATATTGTATAAAAGAAGTTCTGGAGCTTTATGTTCATCATACCACTTAATTTTTCAGATATCATTATAGCCCCCCCCCCCCAAAA